ACCTTTATTAATTTTTATATTATTTTGAATGTTTCAGTATTGTGTTTCAACATATTTAAAATTTAACTTCAGTACCTCATATTGTAATGAATATTATAAAAACACCTCCTATATGTTTCAGCATCTTTGCAGAGGTTTCTTCCTGTTAAAAGGGAGTGTCACCAAGCACTTGCTAATACTTGTTGTCTGTTGATGTTTTCTCTGTATAATTGCAGGGTTTTACAATACAAAGCGCCTTGAGGTGAGTGTTATTGTGATTTAGCATTATGTAAATAAAACTGAACTGAACTGATGACATGATTTATAGACTTGTAGTGTCAGTGCAGCACCTTCTCTGCGCTTCTTCTTGTCTATTTCTAACTCTTTCTGTTGTTAAGAATGGAGAAAGATGGTCGATTCTGGTGAAGGAGGAGCTCCAAAGCAAACATTTATTCATTTTTTTTCATTAATTGTTGTTTCCACCTCTGTTTAGTTTCAATGCAGTTTTATTTATATGTCACCAAATCACAGGAGCAGTTGTCTCAAATCACTTTATACTGTAAAAAAAAATTACATTAACTCAGAATCTACACAAGCCTCTAAAATCGAGAAAGAAGAAAATTAAAGATGTGGAGAAGCTGCTTTGGTTGTCATGAACTCACTGAATGGTAAGTTTGAGCTGTTGTCACTGTCATAGATATGTAGTAGTGATGTACGACGTGACTGATTTCCATTCCGATCTAATGGCAAGTCAAATTCAGGCTGTATCGATGGTACTGATCTGATGCCAGTACAACAACTTGTGTTTGGAAAATCAAAAGTAGCGTATTTCAAACTGTAACTTTTCTAATGAATACAAGACATGGGACTTCTTGTTCTTAATGTTTAATTATGAATAATTATCATAGAAGAAATTTTAAAAAAAAGATTTGAAAATATTCAATTACCAAAATGTGACTGAATGAAAATAATAATACAGCTGAGAAACATCTTTTTAGATTTTATAGATCCATATTATTTTAAAGCTATCTTATCTAGAAAATATTTTGCGTTGTATTTTGGGATTTTTCAAGCCTACAGCAGTTGTTTTACTGAGAGTGCCCTGTATATTTTAAAGATACCTAGTCTACACAATCCACTTTTAACCCTTGTGTGGTGTTCGTATTTTTGTTACTCAGCCAGTGTTCATGGGTCTGGTGGACCCGCTAGAGTTTTGGCTTTCTAAATTAACACTATCAAACAATTTTATGTTAAATTACTCAACAGATGTTTACTTCATCCCAATTACAAGACATATGAACAGCAAACATGGTTAATTTTTTCCCT